GTATACATATCTGTTCCTGACATCTTTACCCAAAGATAAGGATAATGAGCCAAGTGAGCTGGAGCAAGCCTTGACGAGGTGGGGAGGATCAGCAGTCACCAGCTCGATGGCTGTGATTACACACCTCCGTCCCCATCACGGCACGTGGGGTCCCACACGCCTACTCCCACAGGTAACCCCGAAGAGACAGATTTCCAGGTCTTCATTGAAGTGAGGATGGGGCAGATAGTGATCTTAATTGAAAGATGCTGGTGGAAGCAAGAGGCCTTTTCTGGACTCACACTTGAACTTGAGATCTTTTCTTCTTCTTTTTTAAATTTGCTTCGGACTTGTACACTGCTGAAGGTGGGGTGACGACGGGGAGAAAGAAAAAGCACTCCCAGGAGGGATAGCCACACCACAATCCTTTCTCCTCCATTTTCTCAGGATTTTGGGATATACATGCTCATGCCCCTGGCATGTTTTTCAGGCTGACAGGTTTGGGACTTGAACCTAGCAGTTGCCCACATGGGCTCCAGCTGTCTTAACCACGATGCCACCAGCTGGCCTGAGAACAGTTTTTAAAAATTTTTTTCTCTAGGTTGCATGTATGCACTCACCAAAGAGAGAGAGAGGGAAAATGAGAAAACAGCCTTCAGGGGATATGGCCATGCCGCAATCCCTTCTCCAACATTCTCTCAGAATTTGGGACATGCACACACAAACACCTTGCCATGTTTTTCAAGCTGCTGGGTCCAGGACGCAAACCACACACTCAGCCACATGGAATCTAGCTGCTTTAACCACCATGCCACTGACAGGCTCCTGAGAACACTTCTTAACAGGCTGAAAAGACCTATGTTCATTTTCTAGGGGAATTATATGTGTTACACATTTTTCCTTTTATTTTTTTTTCATTTAAAATATATCTCTTTTTGCTACTGGGTTGTTGGAAAAGTCATGATGTCTTTTTGCATAGAGAAACATAGGAAAAAATAGGTTGTGACTTTTCCAACAACCCTGTAAATTGGGATGAAAAATAACATAGAAGGATAAAAAATAACATAGGAAGAGTAATTTAACCCTCCCAGGATGTGCTTTCACTTCTTAAAAACAGAATTGTGTGCTGCTAGGACTCTACCGATCGTGTGGAGTAGAACAGTCGGAGTTGGCGTCAGCATTCTCAGTGCAGACCTTGGTATGAATGAGAGTTTCATCTTAGTGTATTCATTCATTTAGAAGCATTTAGTTGCCTATTTTGAACATTGATTTTTTTTTTTTTAACTTACCTAAAGAAGTTTTTTGTTTCTTTGTTTTTTAATAAAACCCCTCCCAGTGGAAGGGAAGTCTAGAACTTTTGTTTTGATGCAGTGCTCATGAAGAGACATGTATTTGTTTTTAAGTGGCATAAGTAGGTCACTAATTCATGTGGACCAGGAGTACAGACCTCAGGAGGGTAGGAGGAAAAGCAGCCTCCAGGGCGCCCTCACCCCTCTTACCTACCCTGCCTTCTGACTTGTGCCAGCTGGGAGCAGCATTTTCTAGTCTAACCCAAGCTCAAAACATGAGTCTTAGAGGAGGCCTCCCCTCCCTCATCCGTCCTGTCCTATCAGCCATGTGGCCTTCCTCCTTCCTCTCCTCCTCCCATGTTTTCCTAAGTCACCCCTTCCCTTCCATCTTCTCTGTCCTGCTTTGCCTTCACTTCCTTGCCCTCATCCAGGATTTCCCTCACATCTTATCATGCCCTAGTTTCTCCTTTTTAGTTCCTCTGGAGTTGCTGAGGCATCTCTAGTGGTGACTCTCGGGGCGGTACACATGGTCCTCAGGTCCACCTTTGACCCTGGGCCTCCAGCCCACTCTTCTCTTTCAGCTCAGCATGTATCTGCGAGCCCCTCTCCAGCTACTGCTGATGCCACCAGCCCCTGTCTTCCCCTGTCCACACATGGGACTTGAAAGACCCAGGTGAGATACTGGTTCCAGAAAGCAGTCTGCTGTCAAAATCCCTTGTGCAGGCAGGGTGTTCTTCCTTCCTCCCTCCTTCCTTCCGTGCCTCTTCCCTTTGCCCTTCGGTCGAGGTGCAACATATATTCAGGGAGATGCATAAAATGCACAGTTCTTGGCAGGCAGTCTCCAGTGCTTCTGGATCCACAGGCTTTACTCAGGAGGGACTGTGACTTGGCCAGGTCTTGCTAGAGTCCACGCCCTACTAGGGTCTGGCTATAAAAGGAGTGGTGGGGTCGGCGGCTCTTGTTGTTGAAACTGGATAGAGTGGGTGGGATGTGGCAGGGGATGGGAAGCGTGAGGGTTCCAGGGAAGTGTATAGCTTGATTGGTTTTTACATAAATAAACAGCCATTTGCCACCACCCAGAAAAAGACAAGAGAATATTTCCATCATCTGAGATCCTTCCCAGTCATTACCATCTTCTCCAAAGGTGACCACCATTCTGACTTCTGTCACCACCAGCTAATTTTGTCCTTCATTTTTTATTCCTTTGACACTGTAGAGTCTAAAGGATATAATTTGTGCCTCCATAGGAAATAAGCTCACCTTTCTTTGCGGGCTTTCCAGGCATCCCTATTAGTATGCTCTCACAAAAACAATAATTCTACAGGGTGGGTATTGCTAATTCCATTTTCTAGAAAAGGAGTTGAAGGTTTACTGAGGTAACAAAATTATCCAAGAATGATCTCAACGGAACTGTTAGGAATAGAGATAACAGTTTGGACTGCATTTAGATCAGCCTCTAGCCTCTAGCCTCGAAAAGCCTGTGTTTCTCTGCAGTACCTCGGAGCCTTCCTTGCTCTCCAAGTAATTTCACCTCCGGTTTGTTTGATATATCCTTACATCGTCTTATGAGCCTGTTGTTGGCCTGGGTCACACCTGCTGTTTCGGTAACCCTGTAGGAACCATTAGCACAGTGGCATGGTGTTTACTCTGGACTAGTCAGTGGGTGAGGGCTTGCTAACTGCTCGGCTTAGGTCCGTGGAGCATGTAGATGGACGAGAGGAAACAGGAGCCCCTCGGCAGCCAGTAAAGGTGTCCCGATTTCAGCTGGAAGGAGGGGTGCCACAGTGAGTGGATCATATGCCCAGAAGGCATGATATGACTCAACATGGAGTACAGGGTTTCTTCAGCGCCTCTTGCTGGCTCCCTTAAGTGCCTGTCTCACGGCAGGAATTTGGTTCTGAGTGCCTGGACCCACTCCCTGCTCTTGGGTGACCTGAGAGTTAGGCAGGCTAAAATAATGCTGCCACCCTGAGCACGTGGGTATTCTAATCTGAGAGTGCCTGTCTGCCCTGTCCCCAAGGACACTGCAACACCCTTGCCTTTTCCGTGTGCTGGAGGCCTTCCCAGGGCAGGTTCTCAGCAAAAGGAAGGCATTTGATGGACTCAAAGGGGCTAAATTCCAAGGTAAGCTCCTGATACCTAGTGCACACAAATAGGAACATCGAAAAAGTAACATCTGTCCACTCAGAATGTAGATCAGCCATCAGTGTCTTTTTTACTTTGACAGGCTTTGCAGCTATAGCAGTTGTGCCATGCAAGCTTTTAGATTCCCAGCCTTTGGTGTTCGTTTGCCATTTTGAAAGATGTCTCCTTAAGGAAGGACCACTCTACTTAACAACTGGTTCCCTCAGATACATACAAGTGGCACAGATCAGTAGCTCCCCACCTCCGTAAAAAGACCCTGTCGTGCTCAGGAGGTAGTTAGGACCCTGTCACACAGCCTCTGCTTGGTGAGAGATGGCACAGCCCAGGGAGTGACTGGCTGGCTTGCTGTGTGAAATAAGATCTTACCCTGTGGTACATCTGGAACTTGGCCTTCTAAAGGGTCCTAAAATAGCGCCACCGAAGGGAGAACTTCATGAGACATAAGAGAGGGACCCTAACTGCTCCTCCCCCAGCAGGCTATATTGCGTTAAAAAAAAAAACTCAGCGATACTTGCTAAAGCACAGTAAGCAAGTCTTTATGCCAGACCATTGCAGTAGATCTAGGGACCACTGCACTGGGGTCTTACAGTGGGGGGAAGAGATGGTGCTCAATCCTGAGTCTGGCACGGGCAAGTGGGAATTTATAGAAAAGGAGCAGAGGGGGCAGTCAGTGGATGGAAAATTACTGAGAGGAAATATCATGGGTAAGGAGGATTCTGACTAAACCAACCTAACAAGATTCTTGCTATAGACAGGCCAAGGTGATCAGATATCACCCTGGGTATGGTAAAAGATGAGGAACCTGATCAGAAATCAAGGATAATCAGATATTGAGGATGAAGAAGGAAGGGTTCCAGCTGAACTGACTTAAAGGGTTCTTTTGCTAAAACTGAATTTTACAAGCAGATACACAGATGACCTAGGGGAAGGTTCAGAAGCCTGACTGGAGTTCGGCCAGGCAGAGAATCTTTGTTAGTTGGCATAAAGACTGGCACATTTACTCCCTGGGCTTCGTTCTCATCCAATGTGCTTCTGCATTGCTCGTGTAATGTCCCCATCTTATAGCTTGTCCTGACAGTATTGCCCAACTTTACCTCTCTGCAAAGATTTCCTAACTGTTCTCTGTTTGGGTCCATACAACCTCTGTATTAGAAATGAGAGGGCCCTTTTCATGGAGAGAAGCTTGCGGAAATTGAGTAATTGGAGTTGGAGCCTGCTCCTAGGATCACTTCTGAACTGAGTCTCTGAAGATTTGGAGATGCTTGTACTTAATGCTGCTGCCCCATTGGCATCCAGAAAAGAAACCTGTCTTACCAGTTTGGGAAATTGGGACCTCCCCTGTGCTCAGCAGATACCTGGGCTCACCTGCTTCCTCTTGATGCCCCTGACTTCTTAACCTCCTGGCCAGACGGCAGCCTCTGCAGGAGAGGAGGTGTTTGGAAAGGGTATCCCTGTGCTTAGCATCCTGGCTGGCTCTGTGGCAGCCCAAATTATTCTAGAAGATCAGAACACTCAGCACCACACTATTTCCTCTGCAGGATGTTTTCTTCCCAGTCTCTAACTGGTCTGTGATTCTTCTTATTTTAGGAAACTTCTTCCTCTGCCAATGGCCCTTCCCGGGAGGGCTGCAGGCTGCTGCCCACTAGGGAAGGCCACCCTGTGTACCCGCAACTGCGACCAGGCTACATTCCCATTCCTGTCCTCCACGAGGGTGTGGAGAACCGGCAGCCACACCTTTTCCATGCCCATCCTCAGCTTGGGACGCAGCGATTTCGGACCGAGGCGGCAGCGACTCCTCAGAGGTCCCAGTCACCTTTGCGGGGTATGCCAGAAGCCACTCAGCCAGATAAACAGTGTGGACAGGTGGCAGCAGCTGCGGCAGCCCAGCCCCCAGCCTCCCACGGACCTGAGGTAAGGAAAGGCCTGGCTCACAGGCCTGCTGTGGGAAGTGAGCTGGGTGTGTGAGCCACTGTGCTGCTTAGGCTGGGCCCCAGGCTCTGGTGCCAGCACCCTGGGCCAGCCACCTGTTAACATGCAGGGCATCTGGCCTGGCCTATAGCATCAGAGGTCACCCAGCTAGACAGGTTGACAGCCCCACGTTGACCCCCATTGTTTCATAGTTAGGTTTCTCAGGTTGGTTGGCTCATCTTTGTAGTTAAGGAACGGGGTTCAGAGGGTAAATGGAAACTGCCTGGTCCATTTACCCTCACAAAGAGGTAGAAATAGAAGATCTGGGACTGGAAGCCTGGCCTCTGGCTCCTGATGTCAGTGCTCCTCATTCACACTGGGCTTTCCGTTTCAGAAACACAGAAGTAGCTATCAGTGTGGACATGTAGTAACTACTTGGAGACTGTATGTCTGTTCTCACAATGTCCCATAATGTAAAAGGAAATTCAGGGGCCAGCAGGTGGTGTGGTTGTTCAGTCAGCTGGATCCCACATAGCCAACTGCATGGTTCAAGTCCCAGACCCAGTGACGTGAAAAATAGGCCATGCACTTGTGCATGCATGCCCACAATCCTGAGAAGAGAATGGAGAAGGGATTGTGGTGTGGCGCACGTGCATTCTCTCTTGGTTGGGCATGTGTCCTCGCTCTCTTCAGTGAGCGCATGTGTCCTGTAGCAAGCTAGCAAAAAAAAAAAAAAAAAAAGGAAATTTAAAAGACCCAGCCACAGTGGTGTTCAGTGGGAAGGCGCCATTGAACAGTTCAGGCAGTGGCTAAAGCTGCATTGGGATGTCTGGGTTCGGCCCCAGGTTCCTGGCCCAATCTGAACAGGCTGGGTACAGTAGCACATACCTGTGGGCCTAGCTAACTGGGAGCCTGAGAAGTAGCAAGACCCTTGCAGAAATACCCCTCGCCACGTAAGCGCGCACTCTCTCATGGACTCTTTCTCTCTTCTCCTCCACCCCCTGTCCTTCCTGTGTTCTCTCTCCCTTCCTCCCCTATTTAAAAAAATTTCAAAAATACGATGGAGTCAGGAAGACAGCTGTTTTTAGATAGGGTTTTAATTCTGAAGCCAAATGCTTCAGGATATGTGGATGGCTTCAGTATGTTAATAGCTAAAAAATAGTTCTTAATCTGGTTCTTAGCTGTGTTTGAGGGCCAGTGGCCCCTAATATGATTTCTGAGCAGCAAGGCCTCTTCCTTTCCCAGATTGCAAATCATCTCGGTGTGTCCACTGGCATTGTTCTTAAGCACAAATCCTCATTTCCTCTCTGCACACAGAGTTGTGGTTGCCTCTCAGCTCTGTTTTGAGTCTGTTTAGCTTCACTGCCTGCTTAAAGGGGGAAATGGGATGCCAGAGGCATTGTCCCTTGCTTGGAGAAGCAGTGCCTATATCTGTAATGTTTCTGCTGTATAAATCAAAAGTGACACATTGATCAGAGAAATCATAGCAGATTTATGTTAACAAGATCCATAAAAACCAGCTGGGGTGAAATAGAAGATAGCCCAGAGGAAAAGGGAGCCTGGCCTGCCTTGGACTGCACAGGGAACACGTACAGCTCCCAGGTGCTCAGCTGAGTTCTCTATGGATTAGTAGAGAGAGGGTTAAGGAGAGAATATGAGCTGACATGTGATAATAACAGATCCAGTACACTAAGGGCTTCCTGTCTCGGGACTGGTGCTGGGCACATACACAGATGATTTGCTTCATCTTCCAAGCAGCCCAGTGCAAGTACTCTTTTCAGTATTTCAGATCAGGTTCTGAAAACTATTGAGCCACGGGAACCAGCAGTTAGCGTAATGGCTATGTCGCTGGACTCCCACGTAGTCGACCGCGGTTCCCGGACCCGGTGGCTTAAAACTCACACCGGGCATGTGTGCGTGCGTGCCCAAGATCCTGAGAGGAGAATGGAGGAGAAGGGATTGCGGCGTGACCATCCCCTCTGGGGGGTGATTTCTCGCTTGCTGTCTCTATGTCTCTCTGTCT